AGATGAACTCCTTGCTAGGTTACCCAAAAGCTATGAATTTAAGCGCATTATGTGATTGGTTACAAGATCTCATCATTTTACAGTTCAAATGATTAGATGTATCAGTAAGTTCTATGCTAACAGTTTCTTCTCACGCACTTCTCTTCCGGCTTCTTGCTTTCCACTCAAATTTTTTCTTCGATAAATTTAAATGTAATGTCAATCGTTATCATCTGTCTTTAAAATTCTTGTTATTTTATTTTCCTCTCTCCTTAATATTGTTTTCTTTTTCTCATATTCTAAATTTGATCTTCTAAAATTTAAATGCAATTTCAATCGTTATCTTCTGTCTTCTTAATTCTTGTTCTGTTATTGTCCTCTCTCCTTAATAGTGTTTTCTTTTTCTCATATTCTCAATTTGATCTTCTAAAATTTAAATGCAATGTCAATCGTTATCTTCTGTCTTCTTAATTCTTGTTCTTTTATTGTCCTCTCTCCTAAATAGTGTTTTCTTTTTTCTTATATTCTCAATTTGATTTTCAAAAATTTAAATGCAATGTCAATCGTTATCTTCTCTCTTCTTAATCCTTGTTCTTTTATTGTCCTCTCTCCTTAATAGTGTTTTCTTTTTCTCATATTCTCAATTTGATCTTCTAAAATTTAAATGCAATGTCAATCGTTATCTTTTGTCTTCTTAATTCTTGTTCTTTTATTGTCCACTCTCCTTAATAGTGTTTTCTTTTTCTCATATTCTCAATTTGATCTTCAAAAATTTAAATGCAATGTCAATCGTTATCTTCTGTCTTCTTAATTCTTGTTCTTTTATTGTCCTCTCTCCTAATAGTGTTTTCTTTTTTCTTATATTCTCAATTTGATTTTCAAAAATTTAAATGCAATGTCAATCGTTATCTTCTGTCTTCTTAATTCTTGTTCTTTTATTGTCCTCTCCCCTTAATAGTGTTTTCTTTTTCTCATATTCTAAATTTGATCTTCTAAAATTTAAATGCAATATCAATCGTTATCTTCTGTCTTCTTAATCCTTGTTCTTTTATTGTCCTCTCCCCTTAATAGTGTTTTCTTTTTCTCATATTCTAAATTTGATCTTCTAAAATTTAAATGCAATGTCAATCGTTATCTTCTGTCTTCTTAATTCTTGTTCTTTTATTGTCCTCTCTCCTTAATAGTGTTTTCTTTTTTCTTATATTCTCAATTTGATTTTCAAAAATTTAAATGCAATGTCAATAATTGTTTTAATTTCTATTATTTCATTGTTAACGATCCTTAACAATGTTTTATCTTGTATTCTTTCACAATTGTTAACTTCATGAGGGTGAAATGATTTTTAAAAAATATATATTTAGAATAGATATACTAAGGTCTCTATCCTGTCGTTTTCAAAGTATGAGGGGTCCAGTAGTTTAGTTTAGAACCGAAGAACAAGTCTAAATAGACTACACTTAGATATATACCGGGTGTAGCAGCAAAATTGTCCAAATCAGGTAACTGCATAATTGCACACCCCACAAAATCTTTTCTGTCTAATAAATAATAAATAAATAAAGAACACTAAAACTGAGTTTCTTTTTTCAGATAAGACGTTTATCAATTCTTGACACCATTTGTCGTACGAATCACGGAAAATGCCTTTTAGATATTCAGTTAGAAAGAAAAATGGTTTAAATCGTTTTGTGTTAGCCACACTATGTTTTCCCAACGGAGCCCTGGTAAGAGGAAAAAGTTCATTCGTGCCAACATTCATAAACTGGCTTCCACATTCAAAGTGATTTCAAGACCCATCAAAAGAACGGTGAATAAGTTTTAAAAAGAGGGATCAGTAGAGAGGAAAACTGGATCAGGAGGTCACAACAGGAAGCAGGATCATCATTTCAACTTAGAGCTAAGGAGATCAATTAAAAAAGATCCAACTCAATCCACCAGACATTTGGCACACGATAAAGGAGTTTCATCTGTGACAGTCCAAAGAGCAGTGAAAATGAAATCGTACGTGAAACGTGTGAGGCATCTTTTTACCCCAGAACAGAAAGATAGAAGGTCAGAGAGAGCGAAGATCATCTTGAATAAGTTGGAAAATATATATCTGAATTTTATTTCAATCCTTCATGAGCTATCGATCCTTAGCTAGGATTATTTAATGATGAACATGTCATTTTCATTTATGATCGATTTTATCACGATCTCTTAAGCTTGAAGAGTAATTATACATTGTTATTGCTCAAAGTAGAGACCAACAGTGTTATAAACACCTCTAGGAATTCCAGTAAGATATCTTTAATCCTTTCCCAGATACAAAGGTTCAAATCTTAATTTAATAATTAGATTATTTTGCTGTTACACCCGGTGTGATTTAATTATAGTGGCGAAGGTTTGTGCAGAACCTTCCACATGTTTTTGACGAACCAAACACAGAGAACTGGTGCACACAATATGCCAATAAGTTCCCCAAACAAACCTCATTTTTCTTTATGTGTCCCCTCAGGACGTTGGTGATCATGGCTCTCCACAATTTCCTGTTCTCTGTAGCTCTTAATAAATTTTGTCTTTTTGTTATCTCTCCTAAACCTTGGTCCGTCATCCATTTACTCAATCTCATTCTTCTTCTTCCATGTGCTGTGGAACTTCAGGACATTGGTGATCATGGCTCTCCACAATTTCCTCTCCTTTGTAGCTCTTAATAAATTTTGTCTTTTTGTTATCTCTCCTAAATCTTGGTCCGTCATCCATTTACTCAAGCTCATTCTTCTTCTATGTGCTGTGAAACTTCAGGACATTGGTGATCATGGCTCTCCACAATTTCCTGTCCTTTCTAGCTTTTAATAAGTTATGTGTTTTTGTTATCTCTCCTAAAACTTGTTCCGCCATCCATTTACCCAAGCTCATTCTTCTTCTATGTGCGGTGTCCTTTCAGGATATTGGTGATCATGGCTCTCCACAATTTCCTCACTATTGTAGCTCTTAATAAATTTTGTCTTTTTCTTATCTCCCCTAAATCTTGTTCCGCCATCCATTTACTCAAGCTCATTCTTCTTCTTCTTCTTCTTCTTCTTCTTCTTCTTCTATGTGCCGTGTCCCTTCAGGACGTTGGCGATCATGGCTCTCCACAATTTCCTCTCCTTTGTAGCTCTTAATAATATTTTTCTCTTTGCTATTTCTCCTAATCCTTGTTCCACCATCCATTTACTCAAGCTCGCTATGTAGGTTAGGCACTGTTTTCCTCTGTCCGTCTTGCCTTTTATCTGTCCTATGAGTATCAGATTTTCCGAGCCCTCTTTCCTCATAATGTACCCTATAAATTTTAACTGTCTCTTCCTGATTTACAAGTTTCTTCTGTGTTTCCATTTTCTCTAAAACTTCGTCGTTTCTCACATATTCGCGTAATGGCATCCTTATCATCCTTCTGTAGGACCAAATTTCTGTTGCTCAAGTATATTCTTTATCTTTAAGGAGATTGTCCGGCATTAAATGCCATGAAAGTAGACAGATATCACGAAAGAGTTCTGTACTGTTTTCGTTGTTTTTAATTAAGTTTTTCTGATTAATAATGTTTTTCTTCTTATATTCTTTAACACTATGTAATCTTAGTGGCTTTATTGCCTTACTTTTTTCAGTTAATGGTTACTAATTTCTTCTTGTTTCCCTTTTCTTGTTTAAGGGTTCCTGGAATTTTCTTTTTGTGCTTGATCTGTATTTAAATTTAACAATTTACGCATCAATAATGAAACCTGTTAGGGCATGTAGTTTTCTAAGTTTCTCCTCGTTATGTAGTTCAGATAACTCGTGGGACAAGACGCTTCTTTGTTTTAAATCAGTATTTTATTTTCAATTTCAGAATAATTTTGTTACCCCATTGACATCTATGGTAGTCACTAAGAAACAATTACAAGAAGAAGGATCCGATAAAATAAGAAAGAAAGGTAAATATTTGTAAAAAGTTTATTGCGCTTTGACTCCAACTTTTCAGCTACCTCTAATCAATAGCAACAAGTTTAGGGTTAACGTTAAACTGCTTGTCCTCCTTCTTTGAGGGTAGCCTTACGGGTATCGGTGCAGAAATTGCACAAATGCCCTTAGCCATCTCTCCTCCCTCTACTAGATATGGATTGAAAATTTGACCATCTGGGCTACTTAAACATGATTGGCATGCATCCTAAAAATGAGGAAATAGTTTTAATGCAAAACCTGGCAGAAGGGAACGAGAAACCACATCATTATCTTCCTATTTACAAATAATAATTAAAAGGAAGATGTGGAGAGCCTTATTCGAATGTAATCGTACAACACTCTCCCTAGTCATCCAAGACTTCCAGCACCGCGGCTGATCGATGAAGATCGCTTCGGTCTCAGACCTGCCTTATCCCACGTTGTGATTTAAGCTTGATCACAAGGAGGCCAAAAACGAATCGTCGAAGATATCTACGTATCGGGCTGATCCAAGCAGGGAGAAGACGTACAAAAAAATAAATAAATGAATAAATAAATAACACTTGAATAAATTGAACAAAATGAAATACTGTTTTTATATCAGTCCTCCGTACAATAATTGGTTATATTAGAATTCGCATGCAATTAATTATTAGCCCAACCCACGACTAAATCTGAAGAGATATTATTTGTTGACTTGGTAAAGTTTGGGTTGCTGTTTTGGTAAAGTTCGGCACAAGGCTGAAACGAACTCTCTGCCGTCTCTCTTCTGCCTCTGTCTCCGTTTCCGTCTCTCTTCTGCTGGAGAGAAGAGATGGAATCGGGGTGTTCTCTTCGGGAGGCCATCACGCGGGGTGTATCACGACCGGTGGCTGGGACGATCTCAGCCGTCGTTTTCTTGTCTCTGTCTCGTCTGCATCTGACGAATTCGCTTCGCGCATTCCTATTTATGGACATTCGCTCAAACTGGCTCGAGGCATGACACATAGGGGTATTTCGGTAAATCCCCTTTGTTGTCCGCTCTCTCATATTATTGCCTCTCACTAAATCTCCTCAGTGAGCGTGGGTGGATTATCCACCCCCTCGTGGTATTTCAACTCGTATTTCGACCAGGCAAAATCAACTCCAAATTCGTTGTTTACGACAATGAAATTTTCGCTTTACAGCTTGCATTTTCAGCTGCGCAGAACACATGCCAATCATCATTACCCTCTAAGTTTGGGTCATTTTCGATTGTTCAAACCCTCAACACACCAATTGCAGATTTCGTCTGTATGTGAATTAAATCGTCAATTTTTACCACAGATTCTTCTGTTTTTACCTTTCTTGTTGCAGTCTTTCAATATATCGTTTCCTTTATTCATAACAGAACTTCTTATTGTTTTACCAAAGCATTCTTCTGTTGTACCGCGGCAACGACAAATAGTAACACAGACGACCTCCAGGAGAAATATTCGACTTAAAATTGAGGAGAAGACAAAGGAAAACCATAACACCATCTCCCTAAGTAGCCATAATTTTTAGAGACAATAAAGAAAGTGAATGTGTGGAGAGACATGACCGCCTACGTCCAGAAGGAACATGCCATTTAAAATTGTAAAAAAAGGCAACGGGAAACCATTCCACTATCTTCTGTAAGAAGTCATGATAATTCAGAGATATCAAAGAAAAGGAAGATGTGGAGAGCCATGATTCCATACCATCAGATCGAATATGCAATTTAAAATTGTGGAGAAGTGAAGTGGAACACACTGCAATATCTTCTCTCAGAAGTCATGATAATTCAGATAATTAAGTAAAGGAACATGTGGAGAGCCACGATCGACTATGTTTAGAAATAATATTTCTTAATGAGGGTGACCTTTACTTAACGATGAAAGCCTTCTGAGATGAGCTGCGTAAGGATATGCCGGGCTATATGTTGGTTTCCTCTAGCGATGTTTCGAACCTCGCCGGGAGACACATTTTCTTTATCATGCCTCTCAAATGCACAAGACGGTAGACATATATTTACAGCATTTTTTTAAAGAAAGTATCCTCAAACATGTATATCCATTAATTAATTCCTGACCACTGACAATCCCTTTCTTCCTGATTTTCAATGCATTCCTCTAGTAAAATCATTAGCAATGCATTACCATTATACATATAATAGCCCTATTCTATCAGTAATGCTTGCCTTCATCCCAGTCCACTGAAAATCCCTTTCTTCCTGATATTCAATGAATTCCTATAGTAAAATCATTAACAATGCATTCCCATTATACATATAATAGCCCTATTCTATCAGTAATGCTCCCTTCATTCCTGACCACTGACAATCCCTTTCTTTCTCATTTTCAATGAATTCCTATAGTAAAATCATTAGCAATGCATTTCCATTATACATATAATAGCCCTATTCTATCAGTAATGCTTGCCTTCATTCCTGACCACAGACAATCCCTTTCTTCCTCATTTTCAATGCATTCCTATAGTAAAATCTTTAGCAATGCCTTTACATTATACATATAATAGGCCTATTCTATCAGTAATGCTTTCCTTCATTCCTGACCACTGACAATCCCTTTCTTCCTGATATTCAATGAATTTCTATAGTAAAATCATTAACAATGCATTCCCATTATACATATAATAGCCCTATTCTATCAGTAATGCTCCCTTCATTCCTGACCACTGACAATCCCTTTCTTTCTCATTTTCAATGAATTCCTATAGTAAAATCATTAGCAATGCATTTCCATTATACATATAATAGCCCTATTCTATCAGTAATGCTTGCCTTCATTCCTGACCACAGACAATCCCTTTCTTCCTCATTTTCAATGCATTCCTATAGTAAAATCTTTAGCAATGCCTTTACATTATACATATAATAGCCCTATTCTATCAGTAATGCTTGCCTTCATTCCTGACCACTGGCAATCCCTTTCTTCCTGATTTTCAATGCATTCCTATAGTAAAATCATTAGCAATGCATTTCCATTATACATATAATAGCCCTATTCTATCAGTAATGCTTGCCTTCATTCCTGACCACTGACAATCCCTTTCTTCCTGATTTTCAATGCATTCCTATAGTAAAATCATTAGCAATGCATTTCCATTATACATATAATAGCCCTATTCTATCAGTAATGCTTTCCTTCATTCCTGACCACGGACAATCCCTTTCTTCCTCATTTTCAATGCATTCAGACGACCACCTGTGTCTTGGAGAGGAAACACTTACCACTAAGCATGTTATGTTGGCACCCATACGATTAACTAATATGACATATCCTTGTCTATTAGTTTTTATAAAATAATAATATATCTTTGTATAATACGCACCTATTAGGGTTGCATATTATAAATAAAAACTAATTATATTTATTTTTAGTTAGTGGGTTTGGTTTAGCGGCATATCGCCACCTTTATGGCTTATTTATTGCTGATATCTAAATATTTTGAACGCAGTTTTATGGCTTCAACTGAATATATTTTGGACGCAATTGTGTTCGACTCCAAATAAAATGCATTGTCGGTCATTTTGTTATAAAATGTATTGTACTGTTGGTAATTCTTATTATAAATTGTATTGTTGGTAATTTTTATAATAAATTTTATGGTAATTCTTTTATATAAAAATGTATTGTTGGTATTTTTATTATATAACTGTATCTTTATATTTTCATAGTGTTTTGTTTCTGTTTGGGTGGGGGGTACTATTTCTTGAAATCCAAAGACAATGGGGCGGTGGTTTTGGAACACAACCTCCAACACGTTAGACAACTTCGTGATGTCTGAATAAATTTAGTATTACAATATCTATACAGGTTTTCCCTTCCTGAACTGTGTTTATATATATATGTAATCGACTCTCCCGTCGAGATTCGACGTATGAGGGTCAAGCAGATCAGTTTCCAGGAAACCGACAGCCCGACACCGGCACATGAGATTTGATTATAGTGGTGAAGGCTTCGTGCAGGACCATCCACACTTTTTGAAGGGACGAATACAGAGACCTGGTGCACCGGATGCCACAAGGTTCCCAAACGACCCTCCGCAGGTTTTGAATTCAGAGTTGTCCTTCTCCTAGACAGGTTGCCATCCAAGGCTATAGAACCCAGTCTGTCCTGCTATTTCACCCATAGCTGGAGGGATAGGAAGAGGATTCACACCTTTCCCAAGGGTATTAGCACATAAGTGAATGTAACGGATTCGACTGGAATTCGAACTCAGCTCTCCGATTCCTCAATCCAAGCCACTGTCCATTACTCCACCGTGTGTGTGTGTGTGTGTGTGTGTGTGTGTGTGTGTGTGTGTGTGTGTGTGTGTGTGTGTGTGTGTGTGTGTGTGTGTGTGTGTGTGTGTGTGTGTGTGTGTGTGTGTGTGTGTCTGTTTATTTTGTCTGAGACATATATATATATATATATATATATATATATATATATATATATATATATATATATGTATGTTTTGACACCATTTTGTTGGTTCACTATTTGCCCATAGTTGAACCCTAACAGGTGCTACCACACCGGGTCAGGGTAGATCTAGGAGGGAACAGCAGCAATTATTTTTTTAAATATTTGAAAATTTTTGCCTAACTGCACGTGCCGTCATTTTCAAAACGATTTGACCTGAAGTAATTAAGGCGAAGGTCGAAAATTTAAATCATTTGTAAGAAACGTTTGCTTATCCGCAGTTGTCTCTGTCAGAGGACTTCCTTTGTGGATGTATGCATTTTGTACGACGAAGGTGCCATTACTGGAAACATTTTTGAGACTTGTTTTTCGGAATTCCTTAAAGTGAACATGCATGCAGAGAGGAACAAGGAAACGGATTCTTTCTGGAACACATAATGAGGAAAGAGGGCTGAAGAATATGGCACTCACAGGGCATACTGAATGCAAGAGATGTAGAATGAAACATTGAGCAACCTACGTAACGAGCTTGTTTAAATGTATGACAGAACAAGTCCTTGAATGAATAGGACAAATAATACCCAAATCTACAAAGGATAGGAAGTTGTGGTGAGCTATGGCCGCCCATATCCCAAAGGGACATTGCACATATTTCTTTATGATGCAAAATAATTTTCGTTTAAATAAGGTGCTTCTTCAGTTATGCAATTTTTTGAGCGCCACAGATTTATATGGTTTTCTCTTGAATTTTGTGAGCTTTATTTTGATTGCATTATTTACATTATTCGGACTACCGTCCTCATCTTTGTCGCCATATTTATCACAAGGTTTCGGCCATTTTTCAGGTGGTTGGAATTTTGAACTGAACCCTTTATTTCGCTCAATTGGGCAGACTTTTCTAGTTCCACGTGCCATGTTTGATGGATGTCAGTTATCAGTTATCTCTTGTTAATTTCCCTCTGAAAGTTCTCCACTACCTTAAGCGGGTATTGAACTCACACTCTTTGGGCCCTGTCACTGGATCTAACCAACGCCTTTATCCACTGTGCCATGTCTCCTTGAGGACGGCCGAAACGTTGTGATAAATATAGCGACAAAGATGAGGATAATAGTCCGAATAATGTGAATAGTGTACATAATACCTCATCTCAGAAATATAGACAGATACTGAAAGGCCGAAACGTTGTAATAAATATGGCGACAAAGATGAGAACAATAGTCCGAATAATGTAAATAGTGTACATAATACCTCATCTCAGAAATATAGACAGATACTGAAAGGCCGAAACGTTGTAATAAATATGGCAACAAAGATGAAGACAATAGTCCGAATAATGTAAATAATGTACATAATACCTTATCTCAGAAATATAGACAGATACTGAAAGGCCGAAACGTTGTAATAAATATGACGATAAAGATGATGACAATAGTCTGAATAATGTAAATAGTGTACATAATACCTCATCTCAGAAATATAGACAGATACTGAAAGGCCGAAACGTTGTAATAAATATGACGACAAAGATGATGACAATAGTCTGAATAATGTAAATAGTGTACATAATACCTCATCTCAGAAATATAGACAGATACTGAAAGGCCGAAACGTTGTAATAAATATGGGGACAAAGATGAGGACAATAGTCCGAATAATGTAAATATTCTACATAATACCTCATCTCACAAATATAGACAGATACTGAAAGGCCGAAACGTTGTAATAAACATGGCGACAAAGATGAGGACAATAGTCCGAATAATGTAAATATTCTACATAATACCTCATCTCACAAATATAGACAGATACTGAAAGGCCGAAACGTTGTAATAAATATGGCAACAAAGATGAGGACAATAGTCCGAATAATGTAAATAATGTACATAATACCTTATCTCAGAAATATAGACAGTCTTATTTTGATTGGTTGAACATAATAATCTAGATTTTGATTTAGCTGCCAATGAAAATAATTTCACTGTCATTTGAAGTTTTTTTTTTTTTAATCATATCACCACATGCAAAACGGTAAGGTCATTAAAACCCAATGGATTACTGGGTATTCAAGAACAAGAAGAAAAAAGAAACATTAGTGGGTGTAAAGAATAGAAGAATGATCAATACAGTAGATAGCCACTGGCATTTCATTTTAAGTTTTAAAGCAAGAAACCGAAAGGGGTGCGGTAGAAGAAACTGTCAGCATAGAACTTACGGTTGCATCTAACTAAACGCTGCCAAAATTCATAAAGTCTAAGCACTATATCGAAGAGTTCATCAGAAAACTTAGCATGAAAGTATTTATAGAAAAGGCACAGGGTTGCTACGTTTCGACGGTGGGAAGGGACTTAAACCGAGATGCCAGGTCAGGACCAATAATATTGCAGATTCTTCTTTGGACTTTATCAAGGATCTCGAAATATATAGGTGAAGCTACTGTCATACGAACAACTTTGTACTGGCAATTTGCAGCTCTTCAAGGAAAGAGTGAAATTCTCCCAAAATGTCAAGGAAACATGCATCCCTATCCCTATCACCCAGAGTACTGTGTGCTGACTGCAGCTTGTTCGATATCTGATCAATTCTTATAAAACTCAAAATAAATATTCTTTCTGGCCACAGGACGTTTCTCAACAGAGGCAAGAATCGTGCCAAGACCGAAACAAGCTTTGGGAGTTGGCCAGTTAAAACTCAGTTGATTTTATCGAATTGGCAATAATGTTGAACTTTACCCAAAATATCCAGGGTTAGGTTATTTGCCAAGAATTGGGGCTATTGCCATAGGTGAAAGTTTATCAGAAGAAATACCGTGAAAGTATTTATAGAAAAGGCACAGGGTTGCTACGTTACGGCAATGGGAAAGGGACTGAAACCGAGGTGCCAGGCGAAAACTAATAATATTGCTGATGGTTGACTTTTCCTCAACGTCTGTATCAGTTTGTAATTAAATATGTTCTTTTTCTTTTCAGCTAATCGAAAACCGGCAAAAAAACGTAAGTAAAATTATTTTTTTTATTTTTTTCCAAATTAGATAAACATTCAGATTTTAAATGTCGAGAAATTATAAACTCGTTTACCACAAAGACGGCCGTTGTAAGGAAGTTTTAATCTCGATGGCTGTGTGTGTGTGTGTGTGTGTGTGTGTGTGTGTGTGTGTAACGAATTCACAGCCGCAAGTTTCGACGGATTTGCAACAAAATTTACATGCACATGCTCCAGGTTAGCGGGAAGGCCAACACCGACTTTGCATTTCCCAACTCACATCGATAGTGGAAATAATCGATTTTTTCATGCTTCTACGGCAGTTTTCATGTAGTTTGTGGCCATTTTCTACTGGCGAGAGTGAGAGCCTATAGCTGGCTGTCACGAATAGGCAGGAAGATTCTATTGGCCAGCGTGAGAGCCAACAGCTGACTGACACGAATGTTAACTAGCATGCTAGCATGCAAAAAAAAAAATGATAGCTGCATTTGTCACAAGTGGGAAAAATTTAAATCTGCATGGCACTTTACTCCAATTGGCTCATTCGCTTGCTTAAACTCAACGTTGATTCTGATTCCGCAGAACTGGGTTGGGTTTGAAAAAGTATTTGTTGTTAACATTCTTTTTTCGTCCGGTTTTTCTAGTTACGAGTCCTTTTTTAAAGCTGATCGTTTTGTGTTCATTTTTGTTTAGTTCTTTTTTCGTAACAGATTTAATGTTTAGTATAGAGCTTAGAAAAAATTCGCAGTGTGAGATAGGCAAGAAGTAAGGCATGTAGCAACATCAGCACGGCAAAGGGCACTCATTTAAAGGCAAGGAAGGGCAAAAATATTTTAAGTCAAGTGACAGCGATTGCTGTATGAGTCATGCAGATTTAAATTTTTCCCACTTGTGACGAATGCAGCTATCGATTTTTTGCATGCTAGCATGCTAGTTAACATTCATGTCAGTCAGCTGTTGGCTCTCACGCTGGCCAATAGAATCTTCCTGCCTATTCGTGGCAGCCAATATAGGCTCACTCTGGCCAGTAGAAAATGGCCGCAAACTACATGAAAACTGCCGTAGAAGCATGAAAAAAACGATTATTTCCACTATCGATGGGAGTTGGGAAATGCAAAGTCGGTGTTGGCCTTCCCGCTAACTTGGAGCATGTGCATGTAAATTTTGGTGCTAATCCGTCGAAAATTGCGGCCGCGCATTCGTTACACACACACACACACACACACACACACACACACACACACACACACACACACACACACACACATCCTGCCTTTTATAGATAGAGATTTGACTCTCATCTGTTCACCAACATGAAACAATACTTGGCTGGAAGCTAGTGTCACAATAATGATGTCAAATCTGCTGTTGTTGAATTCTTTTTACGAACAGTTGCTCAGTGACCTCTTTCATCGTATTGATTTGCTTGAGGTGAAACGATAAAAAACGTTTTCTTTTAACTGTCAGATGTGAGTTCATCTGGAAAGAAACAATGCAGTTTTTAACAGAAAGAGATGAAATTAATGCATGCAAGATTTCACGGGATATATATATATATATATATACATATTTAAAAGCAATTGTTTATTTTTCTATAATAACTGTATAAGTCTATAATTAAGAATCTTCTTTCTTTTTCAGCAAGTCGAAGGATTTCGAGAGGTAAGTTAAAGAAAACTTTTATTTTTTCTAAATTCGCGTCAAGATTTGAAAAGTTATAAAACCGTGTAAAAATATATATATTATTTTCATTCTATTATTAGCTTTAACTTTTTAATCAATTTTGTCACTAAATAATCTTAGCATTTTTTAATGTATATTTTCATAAGATATTTTTATTCACTATTTTAAATTAGTATATTTCATTAATAATCTTAAATCAATATTTTATTCACCATTTTTAATTGATTAAAATTATCATTGAAATATACTAGTCGAAAATATTAAATAAAATATTGATTAAAATTAATTAGTGTATTTTAATGATAATTTTAATCAATATTTTTATTGAATATTTTTAAATAGTATATTTCAATGTATATAACCGCACCGAAAAATGTTTTTTTTAAGGCGAGGCTTAGATGTGGCACAAGGCCGAAAGTGTGGAGCACCTAGTGAGGATTGAACTCACTACTCTGTCGTGATTGATCGAGCAGGACAAGCTTGTTAACCATTACACCACGTCGAAGTGCGCAAATGTTTTTCTAGGCGTAGCTTAGATGTGGCACAAGGACGAAAATGTGGAGCACCTAGTGAGGATTGAACTCACTAGTCTGTCATGATTGATCGAGCGGGACAAGCTTGTTAACCATTACACCACGTCGAAGTACCCAAATGTTTTTCTAGACGTGGCTTAGATTTGGACGAAAATGTTGAGTGCCCAATAAGGATCGAACTCATTGCTCAGTAGTGACTGATCTAGCGATACAAGCTTGTTAACCATTACATGACGCCGAAGAGCCTAAATGATTTTCTAAGCGTAGCACAAGGCCGAAATTATGGAGCACCCAGTGAGGGTCGTACTCACTAACCAGTCGTAATTGTTTTAACGAGACAAGCTTGATAACTGTTACACGACGTCGAAGTGCCTAAAACTGCTTTGTGTATTGGCCACAAACGATAGAAATTTAAAGTTTGACAGCAGAAAAAATATCCCTGCCCCGTTAATGATACGAGGGTCGTTTATAAAGTTGTAAGCCTAACCCAGAAGGAGTTGTAGAAAGATGACAGTTTTTCACTATTTTTCAATATAGTCCCCCTTGCCATTAATGTACTTGGTCCAACGATGCTTATGCATTGCAATCCCATCACGGTAGAAGGTGGCCTCCTGGTCCTCCAAAAGCTCATCCATCGCACATATGATCTCATCGTCATTAAAGACATTAGTTCCATTTCATCCTCAAGCGAATTAATTACAAAATTAAATTCGGGGCTTTTAGCTTCCATTTTTGAAACATGGTTAGAACTGTGTAGCGGAAAAAACATATTTTAAATCAATTAATTTATAATATATATATATAGTTAAACCTAGAGAGCCAGACAAACCTACCAAGGTTTCACCTAAGCAGATCGTCACGGAAAACTGGCTAAAAAGGTAAAGAAAGAACGGAATATATAGACAATAAACAAAAATCCATAACCACGTGACCAAAAAAAAAAAAAAAAACCAACGGCGAGGGTTGGTGAGTACCGTTTACTCAAAATTGACGAAAGAGGGATGGAGTTTAAAGAGAAACATCATGGATGGAACTATTTATTCAGTCAAAAATAAATAAATAAATAAATAAAATAATTTATATAAAATCTCTATCTATAAAAGGCGGGATGTGTGTGTGTGTGTGAGTGTGTGTGTGTGTGTGTGTGTGTGTGTGTGTGTGTGTGTGTGTGTGTAACGAATGCATGGCCGCAATTTTCGACGGATTTGCACCAAAATTTACACGCACATGCTCCAAGTTAGCTGGAAGGCCAACACCGACTTTGCATCTCCCAACTCCCATCGATAGTGGAAATAATCGATTTTTTTCATGCTTCTACGGCAGTTTTCATGTAGTTTGCGGCCATTTTCTACTGGCCAGAGTGAGAGCCTATAGCTGGCTGCCACGAATAGACAGGAAGATTCTATTAGCCAGCATGAGAGCCAACAGCTGACTGACACGAATGTTAACTAGCATGCTAGCATGCAATAAAAATCGATAGCTGCATTCGTCACAAGTGTGAAAAATTTAAATCTGCATGGAACTTTACTCCAATTGGCTCAGTTGTGGGGGGGGGGAATTAGCCATCAAATTAATTCAATTATTTATAAATACGTTTGTAGTTGCGGAGCCGACTACATAGGGAGAACATCTCAACGCTTAGACAGGAGAATAAAACCACACGTTCCTACAAAAATTAGAAATCACACCTTGCCGTTGAATGGACTCGTCCCGAATACCAATGGTTTCGCCATATGCGAACACCTATTAAAGAACAGAGATTGTGCAGCCAATTTTAGTGTCGACTGGTTCACCGTGTTGTCCCGGTCACACCCTTTATTTCATCTAAAGGTTCTGGAGGGATTTACTTCGGGTCCCTTAAGCCTTCTTTGTGTAAACAACGTGAGTGTTTGTTGGGGCTCACTGTCATTTGTCTCTAGTTCCTTTTGCTATTTTTTTTCTCCTCCCACAACTTCCTTTTATTGTAAATTTTTCTGTGTTTAATTTTACATTAAATCTCCCGTTGAAGCCTGAAGAGCGGGAGCGAAACCGGTTGCTTCGCCCGTTTTTAATGTGTCTAGTAATATTAAGTTTTATACTTTTATTTCGATCATTAAATTTTGTACCTACAAAAATATTTTAAAAATATTCTATTCTTTTATATATTTTGCAGTTGATACTGGACTTCCAGGTTTAGGCAAGTATAATAATGATTTTCCTTGTATTTTTTCTTCTTTTTTTTTATTATGATAGCAATAAGATTTTAAAGGATTCTAAATTTTTCTTTATCTTGCCGATCTCAAATATTTTTTGCTTAATGTAAGTGGTCCTTGAATTACATTTTTAAAAATCAGTTCACCTCAAGCAAGGCGATAATTCCACGAAGACGCTCGTGGCTACTGGAAATAAAAGAGAATGAATAATACCAGAAACTCAATCCTAAACAGAAAACCCCGGTTCAAAGACTAGGTAAAAGTGTGAATAATTTAAGTGTAATAATTTATCTGGTAATAATTTATATAGCAATGGTAATAATTTAGATGGTAATAATTTAGGTAGTAATGGTAATAATTTATATAGTAATTTATATGGTAATGGTAATAATTTATATGGTAATAGTAGTGGCACGGTGGAATAATAGATAGCGGCTCGCATTGAGGAATCAGAGAGCCGCGTTCGAATTCTAGTCGAATCCATTGCATCCACTTGTTGCAGTTTTTTTTGTATATATCTATATATGTACTAGTGAGCTAGCCCAAATGACTTGACGCACCAATAGAAGGTAACCAATCAGAAGACGTAGAATATTCAATCCGTCGTGTATAAAGGCGGCCATTTTGTTTACTCTATCCGAATGTCCAGTGCCAGCTTGTCAGGCGAAAAGGAACAGAAGGAATAACTACGCTCTGCTACTTTTACCGGGATATCCACTGCTAACCTGAACAACGCTTCCCTACTGTCTTCGAAATATTCACTGCTAACCTCTGGATTCTATACTCAAAGACGACCGTCATGATGAACAACATGCTAATAATCTTGGGGAAGGTATGAATTCTGTTCTTCTCTCCATGGGTAAAAAGTAGGACAGACCTTGGATGGCGAGTGGTTTAAGAAATGGCAACCTACTACGGGAAAAAAAAAAGATACATGATCGCCTAAGCGTGTATCACGCATGGCACATAACTGAATGAGTATTACAGATTTTCTGACATTTTATGTTTCGTTGCTTATACCGCCATTACGGTATAACTGAAAAATAAATTTTGCATTTTATACTAAATAATATTGTTATTTAACATGATAATGAATTTTAATTAGAAATATAGATTTTATATTATTCTAAATGTTGTTATTTAACATTACTATGAAAAATAATGATTGGTATGAAGGCACCAATAGCTCTACAAATCAAGAACGAAATATTTTTTTACGTTATTTGTTAGTTGCCTGTTGAGTCGACCTAGGAGAAGACGCCACCACAAAATCTGGTTGGACAATGTCAAACAATGGACAAGTTTACCGTAATCCCCCATGTATAATACGCACTCATCCATAATACGCACCCCAAAAATTTGTGTTGAAAGTGTGGGAAAACACTTCTACTTACACATAATACGCACCCCTGGTTTGGTAATCAAACCCTATAAATTTTATTTCTCCAATTTCATTTAGCGTTTCCTACTCTTATAAAAAAAATAGTTTTTGAAATAATAATTTTATTCTAATTTAGTTTTATGATAATTCATACTTTATTTTATAAGTATTTTTAGGTACATATGATTGCATTTGACATCCTTAATGGGTCACAATCACCGTATGTTAGTGTCAAATTGTCGTATGTTTGTGGTGAGAAGTCTTTTCGCAAATGAAATGAACCTATGAAACGGCAATCTTTTAAAGATTTTTTGTAGCTGTGCATAATACGCACGTCTAATTTCGCTTATTTTTTTAAGTGCGTATTATACATGATGAATTACGGTAACTAGGTAACTTAATAATACAATAATAAAAGAATTTTTATGACATTTTGGAATACCGTAATTTCCCCTTGTATAATGCGCCTTCATCCATAATACGCACCCTTAAAATTGTGCTGCAAGTGTGGGAATATGCTTCTAGTTACGCATAATACGCACCCTTGTTTGATAATCAAACCCTATAAATTGTACCTCGCCAATTTCATTACAGCCAGCGTTTCGTACTCTTACTTAAAAAGGTTTGAAAAAGAATAATATTATTATAATTTAATATATATTTTATATATAGTTTTATGTAATTCTTATTTTATATTTGTATGTATTGTTAGGTATATATGATTGTATTTGACATCCTTATGTGGACACAATCGCCAAATGTTAGTGTCAAATTGTCGTATGTTTGTGGTGAGAAGTCTTTTCGCAAATGAAATCGACCTACGAAACGGCAATTTTTTAAAGATGTTTTTGTAGCTGTGCATAATACGCACGTCTAATTTCGCTTATTATTTTGAGTAAAAAATGCGTATTAAACATGGGGAATTACGGTAATCTGCAAATTTACGAAAGTTTTTTTAAAAATTATTTTAAAACCTTCAAAATTTGGTAAAAATGGTTTTCTTGCGTCTGTGTGTGGCCATAAATTAGTACAGGAAATTTTAGTGTCTTTTTTTGCGAAGAAAAACATGAATTTGTAAATTTTCGCAAAAATCAGATAATTGTTGAATTGTAATGAAACTTTCCAGACATATTAAAATGAATGAAACTAGTTTTGAAATGTTTCATTTTTAGAAAGTGTTTGCAATTTTTTTTTTTTTTTTTTTCATCTGTACCACTTATTGAATTTTATGAAATTTCTATAAATTAATTTTTGTATCTCTTCACGTTTATATTAATCAATGAAAAACAAACAACATAAAAAGAAAATATCAGAATTTTCTTTTCTCTTCTCCATATTTAATTTTCTGGTGAAGCTTAAATAAAAAGCGAAACATGTCAAATTTATAATCTTTTCCCATTTGTTCGTTGTTCTATCATTTTGTCGGTTTCTAATAAATATTTGATTGATATTTGATCCTAATACCAAAAAAAAAAAAATATTAATGTTTTATTTTTTTATCTTTTTTTGTTTTTCAGCTGACCCTATTAGATCAGGTAAGCAAAATAAACTCTTGTTTCGAAATCAAGCAGATAATCAGAAATCGTGTACAAAATAATTATACATTTGTTTTGTTTTTTTTTAATTTTTTTATTTGTTTCATCATAATGTCTATATTTCTGAGATAAATTAACTATTTACAATATTTACATTGTTCGGAATATTAGCCTCATCTCTATTGTCATATTCATGCGATTTCGGCCTGTGTACTTTCTTCGGGTGATGAACGTTGAAATTTCGAACCGAATCCTTTATTTCGGGTAGATTGTTCTAGTTCCACCTGCCAGGCCTCTTCCGGATGTCTCCGTTTCAGTTATTTACCTTTAGTAACTCAACTCTCCAAGTTTATGTTCATCATTGTTGTCGCTAGGTATTGAACTCACAACTCTTTGGGTCAAGTAACTGGACTTCAGCCAACGCTTTTATCTACTGGGCAATATGTCCAGTGGACGAAACAATGGGTTCGGTTCGAAATTTCAACGCATAACATCTGAAGAAGGCTGGGACGTACAACGGCCGAAACGTCGTGAATATGAAAATAAAAGAGTAGGACAACAGCCCGAACAATGTAAATAGTGTAATTATCTCTCTCTCTCTCTCTCTATATATATATATATATATATATATATATATATATATATATATATATATATATATATATATATATATATATATATATATATATATATATATATAAACTTTCGAATGTTATTACATTATTTTTTTATTTTTTATTTTTTGCAATCCTCCAAAATTTGGAACCTTTCTTTTGTAAGGTGTCCTGTATAAAATTTTGGTATATCTATCTATAAAAGGCAAAGATGGCCATTCTAAGGAAGTTTTGATCTCTATCTATAAAAGGCAGGATGTGCGTGCGTGTGTAACGAATACACGGCCGCAATTTTCGACGGATTTGCACCAAAATTTACATGCACATACTCCAAGTTAGCGGGAAAGCCAACACCGACATTGCATCTCCCAACTCCCATCGATAGTGGAAATAATCGTTTTTTTTTTCATGCTTGTACGGCAGTTTTCATGAGGTTTGCGGCCATTTTCTACTGGCCAGAGTGAGAGCCTATAGCTGGCTTCCACGAATAGGCAGGAAGATTCTATTGGCCAGCGCGAGAGCCAACAACTGACTGACATGAATGTTAACTAGCATGCTAGCATGCAAAAAAAAAATCGATAGCTATATTCGTCACAAGTGGGAAAATTTAAATCTGCATGACACTCCAATTGGCTGATTCGCTTGCTTAAACTCAACGTTGATTCTGATTCCGTGTTGTGGAGTGATTTCCCAGTGGAGGCTTGTATTTGTACTGAGTCAGTCCTAAAATAGGTTCGACGTACAAAACGTTAGAAACTTGATATAATAGGTATTACGCAGAGTAATCTAGTTGTGGTCGCTGATACTTTCGTATTCGACTAACTGTCGTCCGACATTGACTGTCTGACTGACTGACTGACCGACCGACACGTTACTCTTACTACTCCTCCTTATCATAGGTGGGAGAGTCTATTAACTATAGAATAGGTGTGTTCCACCATAATATTCCACAGAACTGGGTTGGGTGTGAAAAAGTATTTGTTGTTAAAATTCTTTTTTCATTCGGTTTTTCCAGTTACGAGTCCTTTTTTAAAGCTGATCGTTTTGTGTTCATTTTGTTTAGTTCTTTTTTCGTAACATGTTTAATGTTTAGTATAGAGCTTAGAAAAATTTACAGTGTGAGATAGGCAAGAAGTAAGGCATGTAGCAACATCAGCACGGCAAAGGGCACTCCTTTAAAGGCAAGGAAGGGCAAAAATATTTAAAGTCAAGTGACAGCGATTGCTGTATGAGCCGTACGATTTTTGAATCAAGCACGGGCAACGCCGGGTCATGCTGCTAGTTATCTACTAAAATGTGTATGCAAGTGGTTATTAATTGCGACCTTCTCATGTTTGATGAAACGAATTTCAACTCAAAGTGACGTCACATGAACGGTCAAAACGAATTTTGTTCGTGTGTATAGGAGATTTCAGTTTGTCGTCAGTTTTGTTTCTTTCCATTTGGAGCTATTTGTTCTGATACTTGGATAATGTAAGAACATTCGAAAGTACATATTTGAAAGAATTATTGCTGCCGAAATACACAGGTTTTCTCACACCAAAACAAGGATTTTGTGATACCTGGATCGTGTCCGACCTTGATGTAGAATATGTTCTTTGTGGTGGTCAGGCGTACGAGAGAATCTCGATGTTCTTCGATCCATAGTTTGTGGTGCCACGGATGCTGTCTCAGCAACGTGACCATAAACAGCGGCCAAAGTTGGATAATATGCAAAAATTTAAAATAATAATATGGAAATAACTAATTCTACAGAAATTTCATTTTAATTTATTAATTCTTGATTGTACCACACTTATATGAATCAATATTAATAATATTTCTTTTTCTTTTCTTTTTTTTTGATCTAGCTCCATTAAGACCAGGTGAGTAAAAGAAACCATTTCCTTTTTCTTCAATCGATCTGAAACATTCCAAAATTCTGAAGAATTCATTAAGAATATTTTATTTGCCTGAATTTCTGAAATGAGGAGTTATCATTATTTACGCTTTTTATATTTGAGACAATGGCCAAGTGGGTCAAAGCATTGGTTTGGGTATTTGATGACATAATGGTTGTAAGTTCAATCTCTGGGTCGGACAGTGTGTACTCTGTGGAAACGGGCGAGCAATAACTGAAGAGTACTAAATTAAAAGGAGAACTAGACGAGATACCCCGAGACGTGCTAAGTGGAAGTAGATTAAGTAAAAGTCCAGAATTCCAGGTAAAATACAGGCTGAGCAATAACTGAACAGTACTAAAAATAAAAACTAGACGAGATATCCCTAGACATGAACGAGAACATTAATAGCAATATTACCTTGAATTTTATTATTAGATCAAGTATTGTCAGCCATTATTAATTTTTGACTATTATTTGTTTCATCTTAATTTCAATTGCTTTCCATCACAACTAATCAGACCATCATTCTACAGCCATTAGTAGTAATATTACCTTGAATTTTATTATTAGATCAAGTATTGTCAGCCATTATTAATTTTTGACTAGTATTTCTTTCATCTTAATTTCAATTGCTTTTCATCACAACTAATCAGACCATCATTCGAAAGCCATTAGTAGTAATATTACCTTGAATTTTATTATTAGATCAAGCATTGTCAGCCATTATTAATTTTTGACTAGTATTTCTTTCATCTTAATTTCAATTGCTTTTCATCACAACTACTCAGACCATCAATCGAAAGCCATTAGTAGTAATATTATCTTGAATTTTATTATTAGATCAAGCATTGTCAGCCATTATTAATTTTTGACTAGTATTTCTTTCATCTTAATTTCAATTGCTTTTCATCACAACTAATCAGACCATCAATCGAAAGCCATTAGTAGTAATATTATCTTGAATTTTATTATTAGATCAAGCATTGTCAGCCATTATTAATTTTTGACTAGTATTTCTTTCATCTTAATTTCAATTGCTTTTCATCACAACTACTCAGACCATCATTCGAAAGCCATTAGTAGTAATATTATCTTGAATTTTATTATTAGATCAAGCATTGTCAGCCATTATTAATTTTTGACTAGTATTTCTTTCATCTTAATTTCAATTGCTTTCCATCACAACTAATCAGACCATCAATCGAAAGCCATTAGTAGTAATATTATCTTGAATTTTATTATTAGATCAAGCATTGTCAGCCATTATTAATTTTTGACTAGTATTTCTTTCATCTTAATTTCAATTGCTTTTCATCACAACTACTCAGACCATCATTCGAAAGCCATTAGTAGTAATATTATCTTGAATTTTATTATTAGATCAAGCATTGTCAGCCATTATTAATTTTTCACTAGTATTTCTTTCATCTTAATTTCAATTGCTTTCCATCTCAACTACTCAGACCATCATTCGAAAGCCATTAGTAGTAATATTATCTTGAATTTTAATATTAGATCAAGTATTGTCAGCTATTATTAATTTTTGACTAGTATTTGTTTCATCTTAATTTCAATTGCTTTCCATCACAACTACACAGACCATCATTCGAAAGCCATTAGTAGTAATATTATCTTGAATTTTATTATTAGATCAAGCATTGTCAGCCATTATTAATTTTTGACTAGTATTTCTTTCATCTTAATTTCAATTGCTTTTCATCACAACTACTCAGACCATCATTCGAAAGCCATTAGTAGTAATATTATCTTGAATTTTAATATTAGATCAAGTATTGTCAGCTATTATTAATTTTTTGACTAGTATTTGTTTCATCTTAATTTCAATTGCTTTTCCATCACAACTACTCAGACCATCATTCGAAAGCCATTAGTAGTAATATTATCTTGAATTTTATTATTAGATCAAGCATTGTCAGCCATTATTAATTTTTGACTAGTATTTCTTTCATCTTAATTTCAATTGCATTTCATCACAACTACTCAGACCATCATTCGAAAGCCATTAGTAGTAATATTATCTTGAATTTTATTATTAGATCAAGCATTGTCAGCCATTATTAATTTTTGATAGTATTTCTTTCACCTTAATTTTAATTGCTTTTCATCACAACTACTCAGACCATCATTCGAAAGCCATTAGTAGTAATATTATCTAGAATTTTATAATTAGATGAAGCATTGTCAGCCATTATTAATTTTTGACTAGTATTTCTTTCATCTTAATTTCAATTGCTTTTCATCACAACTACTCAGACCATCATTCGAAAGCCTTTAGTAGTAATATTATCTTGAATTTTATAATTAGATCAAGCATTGTCAGCCATTATTAATTTTTGATAGTATTTCTTTCATCTTAATTTCAATTGCTTTTCATCACAACTACTCAGACCATCATTCGAAAGCCTTTAGTAGTAATATTATCTTGTATTTTATTATTAGAATAAGCATTGTCAGCCATTATTAATTTTTGACCAGTATTTCTTTTATCTTAATTTCAATTGCATTTATCACAACTACTAAGACCATCAATCGAAAGCCATTAGTAGTAATATTATCTTGAATTTTATTATTAGATCAAACATTGTCAGCCATTATTAATTTTTGACTAGTATTTCTTTCATCTTAATTTCAATTGCTTTTCATCACAACTACTCAGACCATCATTCGAAAGCCATTAGTAGTAATATTATCTTGAATTTTATTATTAGATCAAGCATTGTCAGCCATTATTAATTTTTGATAGTATTTCTTTCACCTTAATTTCAATTGCTTTTCATCACAACTACTCAGACCATCATTCGAAAGCCATTAGTAGTAATATTATCTAGAATTTTATTATTAGATCAAGCATTGTCAGCCATTATTAATTTTTGACCAGTATTTCTTTCATCTTAATTTCAATTGCATTTATCACAACTCATTCGAAAGCCATTAGTAGTAATATTATCTTGAATTTTATTATTAGATCAAGTATTGTCAGCTATTATTAATTTTTGACTAGTATTTATTTCACCTCAATTTCAATTGCTTTTCATCACAACTACTCAGACCATCATTCGAAAGCCATTAGTAGTAATATTATCTTGAATTTTATTATTAGATCAAGCATTGTCAGCCATTATTAATTTTTGACTAGTATTTCTTTCATCTTAATTTCAATTGCTTTTCATCACAACTACTCAGACCATCATTCTACAGCCATTAGTAGTAATATTATCTTGAATTTTATTATTAGATCAAGCATTGTCAGCTATTATTAATTTTTGACTAGTATTTCTTTCATCTTAATTTCAATTGCATTTATCACAATTACTCAGACCATCATTCGAAAGCCATTAGTAGTAATATTATCTTGAATTTTATTATTAGATCAAGCATTGTCAGCTATTATTAATTTTTGACTAGTATTTCTTTCATCTTAATTTCAATTGCTTTTCATCACAACTACTGAGACCATCATTCGAAAGCCATTAGTCGTAATATTATCTTGAATTTTATTAGTAGATCAAGCATTTTTAAATTTTGATTAATATCTCTTTCATCTTAATTTCAATTGCATTTCAACCACTTAGTTGCATGCTATAATCATTTTAATAATAATAACTTCAGTTTATTATTACATAAAAAATAGTCATTAATTTTTCAGTCATTTTGTGTCCTTCTCATATTCATTTGCAGACAACTTGAAATGTATAAAGTTGTCTTTAGTAAAAAAATAAAATTGTATTTTGCCTTTAGATTCATCAAAGCAATGATCAAAATTCTCGGCATCAAAATTAATGGATTTTAAGCCCTTGTAAGAATGTATCTGTGACTATTAAAATTTTTAGACATCAATCTCCACCATTCGAAATAACTTTGGTATCCCCAGGCTCCCAGGCTAAGAGGTTCACATTTTGGTAACCTCTGAATTATTCAATATCTTAATTGATTTCTGTCTATATTCCTGAGATGAGGTATTATGTTTATTTACACTATTCGGACTGTCATCCTCATCTTCATTGTCATATTCACGACGTGTCGGCCTTCTTCAGGTGATTGGAATTTCAACCCGAATCTCTTTATTTTGTCCACCGGGGTAGATTGTTCTAGTTCTACATACCATGCCTCTTCCAGATGTATCTGTTATCTCCCTTTAACTCAAATCTACATGTTTTTTTTTTTTTTGTTCATCACTGCTGTAGCCTGATATTGAACAGGGCCACTCTTTATGTTTTGTCACTGAATCTAACCAACTTTTTTATCCATTGGCAGTGATGAACAAGAACTTTGAGAGTTGAGTTAAAAGTAAATAACTGAGGCATATGGAAGAGGCATGGCTCGTGGAACTAGAACAGTCTACCTTGGTGGGCAAAATAAATGGTTCGGTTCAAAATTCCAATCACATGAAGAAGGCCGGAGCATAGAACGGTCGAAAGTTAAGAGATTTATTCCATTTGTTTTGCTTTGTTTAGTTTAATTTTTTTCTCTCTGTAATGTGAAATATTTTATTTAGCTTTTTCAGTTCACCATAAACATTTGATGGAAGAAAAAAAGCTGACACGTAAGATAACGGATTTTATTAAAATCTGTGTGTTTTCTGGCATCAGTATGGATTTATTCTGTTAATTCACCCCAAAATTGTTATACAGGAATAAAGTGTCGCTGCCGATACATGAGTTTGAACATAGATCGCCAGTGAGCAAACACAGGCGATCCCATTATTGAATTAAGTAGACCACGTGACCATAGAAGAAACGGATATATGTAGGAAGTAGCTGACGACTAACGATCCTTATTCTCTATTACTATAGGGATCGCAATTTCTAGTCTATCCTCTATTACTATAGGGATCGCAATTTCTAGTCTATCCTCTATTACTATAGGGATCGCAATTTCTAGTCTATCCTCTATTAATATACGGATTGCCATTTGTAGTCTATCCTCAATTATTATAGCGAACGCAATTTCTAGTCAATCCTCTATTACTATAGTGATCGCCATTTCTAGTCTATCCTCTATTACTATAAGGATCGCAATTTCTAGTCTATCCTCTATTACTATAGGGATCGCAATTTCTAGTCTATCCTCTATTACTTTAGAGATCGCAATTTCTAGTCTATCCTCTATTACTCTAAGAATTGCAATTTCTAGTCTATCCTCTATTAATATACGGATAGCAATTTCTAGTCTATCCTCCATTACTATAGGGATCGCAATTTCTAGTCTATCCTCTATTACTTTAGGGATCGCAATTTCTAGTCTATCCACTGTTACTATAGGGCTCGCAATTTCTAGTCTATCCTCTATTACTATACGTATCGCAATTTCTAGTCTATCCTCTATTACTATAGGGATCGCAATTTCTAGTCTATCCTCTATTACTATAAGGATCGCCATTTGTAGTCTATCCTCTATTACTATACGGATCGCAATTATATTCTATCCTCTATTACTTCAGGGAACGCAATTTCGTCTATCCTCTATTACTATAAGTATCGCAATTTCTAGTCTATCCTCTATTACTATACGGATCGCAATTTCTAGTCTATCCTCTATTAATATACGGATTGCAATTTCTAGTCTATCCTCCATTAATATATGGATCGCTATTTCTAGTCTATCCTCTATTTCTTTAGGGATCGCAATTTCTAGTCTACCCTCTATTACTTTAGAGATCGCAATTTCTAGTCTATCCTCTATTACTATAAGGATCGCCATTTGTAGTCTATCCACTATTACTATACGGATCGCAATTATATTCTATCCTCTATTACTTTAGGGATCGCAATTTCTAGTCTATCCTCTATTACTTTAGGGATCGCAATTTCTAGTCTATCCTCTATTACTATAAGGATCGCCATTTGTAGTCTATCCTCTACTACTATACGGATCGCAATTATATTCTATCCTCTATTACTTTAGGGATCGCAATTTCTAGTCTATCCTCTATTACTATACGTATCGCAATTTCTAGTCTATCCTCTATTACTATAGGGATCGCAATTTCTAGTCTATCCTCTATTACTTTAGAGATCGCAATTTCTAGTCTATCCTCTATTACTATACGTATCGCAATTTCTAGTCTATCCTCTATTACTATAGGGATCGCCATTTGTAGTCTATCCTCTATTACTATAGGGATCGCAATTATATTCTATCCTCTATTATTTAGGGATCGCAATTTCTAGTCTATCCACTATTACTTTAGGGATCGCAATTTCTAGTCTATCCTCTATTACTATAGGGATCGCCATTTGTAGTCTATCCTCTATTACTATAGGGATCGCCATTTGTAATCTATCCTCTATTACTATACGGATCGCAATTATATTTTATCCTCTATTACATTATGGATCGCAATTTCTAGTCTATCCTCTATTACTATAGGGATCGCCATTTGTAGTCTATCCTCTATTACTATACGGATCGCAATTATATTCTATCCTCTATTACTTTAGGGATCGCAATTATATTCTATCCTGTATTACTTTAGGGATCGCAATTTCTAGTCTATCCACTATTACTATAGGGATCGCAATTTCTAGTCTATCCTCTATTACTATAGGGATCGCCATTTGTAGTCTATCCTCTATTACTATAGGGATCGCCATTTGTAGTCTATCCTCTATTACTATACGGATCGCAATTATATTCTATCCTCTATTACTTTATGGATCGCAATTTCTAGTGTATCCACTATTACTTTAGGGATCGCAATTTCTAGTCTATCCTCTATTACTATAGGGATCGCCATTTGTAGTCTATCCTCTATTACTATACGGATCGCAATTATATTCTATCCTCTATTACTTTAGGGATCGCAATTTCTAGTCTATCCACTATTACTTTAGGGATCGCAATTTCTAGTCTATCCTCTATTACTATAGGGATCGCCATTTGTAGTCTATCCTCTATTACTATACGGATCGCAATTATATTCTATCCTCTATTACTTTAGGGATCGCAATTTCTAGTCTATCCTCTATTACTATAGGGATCGCCATTTGTAGTCTATCCTCTATTACTATAGGGATCGCCATTTGTAGTCTATCCTCTATTACTATACGGATCGCAATTATATTCTATCCTCTATTACTATAGGGATTGCAATTTCTAGTCTATCCTCTATTACTATAGGGATAGCAATTTCTAGTCTATCCTCTATTACTATACGGATCGCAATTTCTAGTCTATCCTCTATTACTATACGGATCGCAATTTCTAGTCTATCCTCTATTACTATAGGGATAGCAATTTCTAGTCTATCCTCTATTACTATACGGATCGCAATTTCTAGTCTATCCTCTATTACTATACGGATCGCAATTTCTAGTCTATCCTCTATTACTATACGGATCGCAATTTCTAGTCTATCCTCTATTACTATACGGATCGCAATTTCTAGTCTATCCTCTATTACTATACGGATCGCAATTTCTAGTCTATCCTCTATTACTATAGGGATCGCCATTTGTAGTCTATCCTCTATTACTATAGTGATCGCCATTTGTAGTCTATCCTCTATTACTATACGGATCGCAATTATATTCTATCCTCTATTACTTTAGGGATCGCAATTTCTAGTCTATCCACTATTACTTTAGGGATCGCAATTTCTAGTCTATCCTCTATTACTATAGGGATCGCCATTTGTAGTCTATCCTCTATTACTATAGGGATCGCCATTTGTAGTCTATCCTCTATTACTATACGGATCGCAATTATATTCTATCCTCTATTACTTTTTTAGGGATCGCAATTTCTAGTCTATCCACTATTACTATAGGGATCGCAATTTCTAGTCTATCCTCTATTACTATAGGGATCGCCATTTGTAGTCTATCCTCTATTACTATACGGACCGCAATTATATTCTATCCTCTATTACTTTAGGGATCGCAATTTCTAGTCTATCCACTATTACTTTGGGGATCGCAATTTCTAGTCTATCCTCTATTACTATAGGGATCGCCATTTGTAGTCTATCCTCTATTACTATACGGATCGCAATTATATTCTATCCTCTATTACTTTAGGGATCGCAATTTCTAGTCTATCCACTATTACTTTAGGGATCGCAATTTCTAGTCTATCCTCTATTACTATAGGGATCGCCATTTGTATTCTATCCTCTATTACTATACGGATCGCAATTATATTCTATCCTCTATTACTTTAGGGATCGCAATTTCTAGTCTATCCACTATTACTTTAGGGATCGCAATTTCTAGTCTATCCTCTATTACTATAGGGATAGCAATTTCTAGTCTATCCTCTATTACTATACGGATCGCAATTTCTAGTCTATCCTCTATTACTATACGGATCGCAATTTCTAGTCTATCCTCTATTACTATAAGGGCTGCTATTCTCTTGTCTATTCACCATACTATTTCTCTATCCGGATCACTAAACGGATCACTATTCGAGCGAGTATTATCGAGCAAGTACTCTTAATGCGAGTGCTGTTCGGAGGTATCTGACACCAGTATTGTTCAATGGTGTTACTATAGTTGTATCTGCGATTACAAAATCTCTACTACAACGAGCATTACGAAAATGTCAACGAGTGTTGGTTGACATCACAAAAATATTCGTTCATCGCAAGATAAAAAGAATTTATATTTAATAAAATTCGCGCCAAATTCTCCCAGAACAAGGCACTTCCATTGCACTCCGGTTGAGTTTAATGTTGCGAGCGCCCCAAATGTTGGTGTCTTGGGTATGATATTTCTAAGCGTGGGGTCTACATTCGCGCTCACCTTCGATAAATAAGAGAAATTTTTTTTTTTTTTTTTTTAAATTATAAAAAGTTCCTTGTAAGTTCTTCGAATATCATCCGGACTTACAAAATGTGAAGAACTCTCCCTGAGTTTTGGTAATTTTTCATTCTGACGGCTGGAGTTTTTGCCAAACAAGCTAAGCAAACTGATTTAAAAATTTTAATTTCTTGTGGTAAATTAATATTTGCAATACTTTGTATTATTTGGGGCGAATTGACAGAAAAGGTCCGGACAGTGTTATTTGTATATTTTTTGCTCTTCAATTGATTAGAATGGTTATTTTAGTTTAGAAGCACATCAACACCTATATGGGTTATTTAATGCCGAAATTAAAATATTTTTTGTACGCAAACATTATTCTATTTTCAGAGATAATAATGATTTAGTAATACACGTCTTACTAATTAACCCATAGCTGAAGGGCTAAGAGTTCAATTCATGCCTTTCCCAAGAGTATTTGCGCGTAAGTGAATATAAAAAAAACTCGACTAGAATTGGAACTTGGCTCTCTGATTAAAAAAGTCATTATCCGTTACACAACCCAAACATCCAAGCTTACAGTACCTATTATTCCCAAGCGGTCACCCCTCTAAGAACTGACAAGGCTCGAGTTTGCTTAACTCCGGTAATCGTACGGAAACCTGCGATTCAATGTGATGTGACTGTACGCTCATTATACCACCCACACATCTAAGCTTATAGCACCTGGTATTGCCAAGCTGTCACCTATCTATGTACTGACGAGGCTCGACGTTGCTTAACTTCAGTGATTGTATGGGGACAGGGGTTTCAACGGGATATGGCCGTAAGCCGAGTTGGTTAGATTAAAATATGAGAGTTAGAAATGCTGCTAAGCAGATTAGTTATTTCGGAGAGGGAAATCAATCTTTCCTTCTTTTATGTGCAGTGTACCTTCAGAATGTAGACAGTAATGGATCTCCACAACTTCCTACTTTTTGTATCTCTAAATAATCACTCTCCGCTTACTATCCCTCCCATCTACTCTACTAACCATTTACAAACGCTCATTGGTGAGGTCGCAGAAGAGTTTCCTACCACCCTGTGAATGTTAAATTCTCCAAGTCCTCTTTCCTCATGTGCCCCAGAAATTTCAGCCGCCTTTCTGGTTCTAAGTATGCGTTCTTTTTGTTTAAATTTTAAATTAATTAGCTTTTGGAAGGCATCTATCCTCATTTCAACTACTTCTTCAGATTTGAAAGGTTTGTAATTACATAGTAGTTCAGCACTTTTTCTTTGCCTCTAACGAAATTTTCCTCTGTCTTAATTCTTTACTTAGCTTTTGGAAGGCATCTATCCTTATTTCAAGTACTCCTTCGGATTTGAAAGGTTTGTAATTACATAGTAGTTCAGCACTTTGGTTGCTTCTAATGAAATTTTCCTCTGTCTTATTACTTTATTAGCTTTTTTTGGAAGGCATCTATCCTCATTTCAACTAATTCTTCAGATTTGGAAGGTTGTAATTACAGAGCAGTTCAGCACTTGTGCTGTGCTTCTAACGAAATTTTCTTCTGTCTTAATACTTTACTTAGCTTTTGGAAGGCATCTACCTTATTTCAACTACTTCTTCAGATTTGAAAGGTTTGTAATTAGATAGTAGTTCAGCACTTTTTCTTTGCCTCTAACGAAATTTTCCTCTGTCTTAATTCTTTACTGAGCTTTTGGAAGGCATCTATCCTTATTTCAAGTACTCCTTCGGATTTGAAAGGTTTGTAATTACATAGTAGTTCAGCACTTTGGTTGCTTCTAATGAAATTTTCCTCTGTCTTATTACTTTATTAGCTTTTGGAAGGCATCTATCCTCATTTCAACTAATTCTTCAGATTTGGAAGGGTTGTAATTACAGAGCAGTTCAGCACTTGTGCTGTGCTTCTAACGAAATTTTCTTCTGTCTTAATACTTTACTTAGCTTTTGGAAGGCATCTACCTTATTTCAACTACTTCTTCAGATTTGAAAGGTTTGTAATTACATAGTAGTTCAGCACTTTTTCTTTGCCTCTAACGAAATTTTCCTCTGTCTTAATTCTTTACTTAGCTTTTGGAAGGCATCTATCCTCATTTCAACTACTTCTTCAGATTTGAAAGGTTTGTAATTAGATAGTAGTTCAGCACTTTTTCTTTGCCTCTAACGAAATTTTCCTCTGTCTTAATTCTTTACTTAGCTTTTGGAAGGCATCTATCCTTATTTCAAGTACTCCTTCGGATTTGAAAGGTTTGTAATTACATAGTAGTTCAGCACTTTGGTTGCTTCTAATGAAATTTTCCTCTGTCTTATTACTTTATTAGCTTTTGGAAGGCATCTATCCTCATTTCAACTAATTCTTCAGATTTGGAAGGGTTGTAATTACAGAGCAGTTCAGCACTTGTGCTGTGCTTCTAACGAAATTTTCTTCTGTCTTAATACTTTACTTAGCTTTTGGAAGGCATCTACCTTATTTCAACTACTTCTTCAGATTTGAAAGGTTTGTAATTACATAGTAGTTCAGCACTTTTTCTTTCCCTCTAACGAAATTTTCCTCTGTCTTAATACTTTACTTAGCTTTTGGAAGGCATCTATCCTCATTTCAACTACTTTTTCGGATTTCAAAGTTTTGTAATTACATAGCAGTTCAGCACCTCTGCTTTGCTTCTAACGAAATTTTCTTCTGTCTTAATACTATACTTAGCTTTTGGAAGGCATCTATCCTTATTTCAACTAATTCTTCAGATTTGAAAGGTTTGCAATTACATAGTTTTTCAGCACTTTTTCTTTGCCTATAACGAAATTTTCTTCTGTCTTAATACTTTACTTAGGTTTTGGAAGTCATCTATTCACATTTCAACTACTTTTTCGGATTTCAAAGGTTTGTTATTACATAGCAGTTCAGCACTTTGTTTGCATCTAATGAAATTTTCTTGTGTCTTAATACTTTACTTAGCTTTTGGAAGGCACCTACCCTTATTTCAACTACTTTTTCGGATTTCAAAGACTTGTTATTACATAGCAGTTCAGCACTTTGGTTGCTTCTAATGAAATTTTCTTCTGTCTTAATACTTTAATTAGCTTTTGTAAGGCATCTATCCTTATTTCATCTACTTCTTCGGATTTCAAAGGTTTGTAATTACATAGCAGTTCAGCACTTTTTCTTTGTTTCTAACAAAATTGCGAGGGGGCAGAAAAAGCGGATTCGTACCTCTCCTAAGTGTATTAACACGTAAGTGAATGTCATGGATTCGATTGGAAATCAGTCAGTCAATTATGTGCCATGTGGTACACGCTTAGGCGATTACGTATCTTTCGATACCTGCCTGACGAAGCAGATTTTTTCCCCCGCAGTAGGTTACCATTTCTTTCTGTGGTTGCTAGATGACATCGAAGGGTATAGAACCCGGTCTATCTTGCTTGACGTTTCACATTACTTAAAGAAAAATGTTAGGAGGGAACTCCCCCCATCGGTACTAGAAAGAGAAATAACAGCTACTGGACTTGAGAAACCTGTTTAAATTTCTGGGGCACGTAATGAGGAAAGGGGGATTGGAAAATCTGATACTCATAGGGAAGATCGGAGGAAAGAGGGACAGAGGTGGGCAGCGCGTAACATACTTGATGAGCTTACCTAAATGGATGATAGAACAGGGGTTGGATGAAATAAGAAAAAGACAAAACTTATTAAGTTGAAAAAAAAACAAAAAAAACAAATGTGCCTGAGCAGATGTCTGCGAAAGGGATCGGCAGTATTAAAGCGAGTAACCGGCTGAAATCTGTAACCTGTGTTTTACAGTGCAACTATGACGGTCGAACATTAGTCTCAGTTTCTGGGAGAAAATCTACAAGAAAATAAAGACATAATCACAATGTTGAAATTCTACATTACTTCATGCAAAAGGTTAGGAAGTCCCTCTCTCGAACTATATTGGAAATAACAATAACGTCTACTGGACTAGAGGAACTTGTCTTACTGAAAAATTGTTTTCCAGAGAAATATTTTAAAAATTTCAACCGAATGTAGCACTGGCTGCTCGGTCAATGAAGACCAAATATTTCCTTATAAAGAAATGGTTAATTGTAGAATTGCATTGGCGTCTTAGTGGATTTATTGCCTTACTGTGGGCGTGAAATGATTACAAAATATGTAAATATTGATACCTCCCAGCCCATTTTTAACTAATGTTCACCCAATGCAAGTCCCAAGAGCCACTCGAAGTAGAGAATTGCTCTATGTAATTATATTAGCGTTGGAAAGAACAAGCATTAGTAGTATAGAGCCGAAGCAGACTTTAGAAGGAACCAGAAACCCAATCCTGAACAGGAAACAAATAATAATCCTCTACTCCTGTTCAAATTCCGTGGAGGAGTGTAAACCGTGTGGTAGGCGAACCTATCTGCTCCTATTGATGGAAAAAGGTGTCCTACAGATTTGTTCTGATTAAGAGGTATGATGGCGTCGGTTTTAGCTGTTTCCATTTACTAGATATGTTTTTATTTAATGCGCTTTCAACATTTTATTTGCTGATTCCTTTTCTTTTAATGCAGGTAAAATCACACCTCAAATGAGAATACAATTCAATCTCGGACATACAACGAAAACAGAAGCAGCTACAACATCCACCACTACAACCACCGCAGCTACCACCACCACCACTCCTACGAGAACGACTACACCAACACCACCCATAATTCCACGTTTGACAAAATTTCCAGGTAAAAAGAAAAAAAAAATATTCCTCTGGTTTGATATTATAAAAAAACAATATATCTTTCTTTTTTTTAACCAATTTGCCCCATCAAGGCAATAAAGCCACTAGGACGCAAGAGACGATGAGAAAAAATATGATTATAGAGAGAAGACAATAAAAGAATAAGACAAAAGGTAATGATTGACATAGCACTTAAACTTTTGAAGATCAAAATTGACTGGAAAACCGGGAGAGAGTCCCACAAGCGGGAAGTATGTGTGAGAAGAAACTCTTAGCATAGAACTTACGGTAACATCTAGCCAATCCAACCATAAATTGATGAGACCTTGCCGGCAATCTATTACTGCGCTTAAATTCATAAAGTCTAGCTACCATAGTGGAAAGTTCATCAGAACAATTACCATGAAAATATTTATAGAAAAGTTTTGTGATGTCAACGAACACTCGTTGCCACTTTTGTAATGCTCGTTGTAGTAGAGACTTTGTAATCGCAGATACAACTATAGTAACGCCGTTGAACAATACTGGTGTCAGGCGCCTTCGAATATCACTCGCACTAATAGTACTTGCTCGATAATACTCGCTCGAATAGTAATCCGTAAAGTGATGTGAATAGAAAAATAGTATAGTGAATAGAGTAGATAATAGCGATCCGTATAGTAATAGAGGATAGAATAGAGATAGAGATCTGAATAGTAAAAGAGGATAGAATAAAAATGGAGATCCAATAGAAGGTAGAATAGAAATAACGATCCTTTAGACGTCACACGATTTTCTACTTATGCGTTTCCTCTACGGCCACGTAATGGGATTGCCTGCGTTTGCTCACTGGCGATCTAGGTTCAAATTCAAGTGTCAGCAGCGTCACTTTATTCCTATATAACAAAAAGACAAAAAGATTAATTGCGGCGTTGGGAAAGAAAACTGTTTAAAGATGTAGCGGTATCAGTTGTCAGCTGATATCTTAAGGAAACATCTGAAGCATGTTGCAGAAATCGTATTGGCAATTATCGTCTTGACAAAGGTCAACTGAGCGGAGCAGACCGCAAAAGAAGCAGGTCAAATGACCTTGACAAAGAAGGTCATCTGTGGAGTAGATTTGATGAATTACTTTTTAGATGAACGCTGACAGAACACGGAACATTTGTTTCCGTAAGACAGTGGTCCCTAGCAGCCTCAGAGGATCGTTCGCCCGTGGCGCGAAAAAGAAGACACACGCTTCACTCATCTACGAGAAGGTTGCAAAAGAATAAAATTTGCCGACTGCTACAATTTCGTCTCATTGTTTTCCTACCAAAGAATTATTTTTCCTGTATTAACCCACAAGCGTCTGACCTGAATAAGCTGCGAACGAAACAGGTGTTTGATCTGAGTTTACGATAAATAATGATTAAAAACCATCTCTATCTATAAAAGGAACAGTTACAACACTTTGCTCTGTATCTATAAAAGGCAGGATGTGCGTGTGTGTGTGTGTGTGTGTGTAACGAATGCACGGCCGCAATTTTCGACGGATTTGCACCAAAATTTACATGCTCCAAGTTAGCGGGAAGGCCAACATCGACGTTGCATTTCCCAACTCCCATCGATAGTGGAAATAATCGATTTTTTCATGCTTCTACTGCAGTTTTCATGTAGTTTGCGGCCATTTTGTACTGGCCAGAGTGAGAGCCAATAGCTGGCTGCCACGAATAGGCAGGAAGATTCTATTAGCCAGCGTAAAATCCAACAGCTGACTGACACGAATATTAACTAGCATGCTAGCATGCAAAAAAAAAAAAAGAAGAAAATATCGATAGCTGCATTCGTCACAAGTGGGAAAAATTTAAATCTACATGGCACTTTACTTCAATTGGCTCATTCGCTTGCTTAAACTCAACGTTGATTCTGATTCCGCAGAACTGGGTTGGGTGTGAAAAAGTATTTGTTGTTAACATTCTTTTTTCATTCGGTTTTTCTAGTTACGAGTTCTTTTTTAAAGCTGATCGTTTTGTATTCATTTTGTTTAGTTCTTTTTTCGTAACAGATTTAATGTTTAGTATAGAGCTTAGGAAAAATCGCAGTGTGAGATAGGCAAGAAGTAAGGCATGTAGCAACATCAAAGGACACTCCTTTAAAGGCAAGGAAGGGCAAAAATATTTAAGTCAAGTGATAGCGATTGCTGCATGAGTCGTACGATTTTTGAATCAAGCACGGGCAACGCCGGGCCATGCTGCTAATAATGAATAAAAATCAGTCTTTCTGTATTTTCCTGAACATTGTGTTGAGGGAAGTAAATATATCCATGTAGCAAGTACCAGCCTCCTTCTGCTCTTCATTATTAACAAGCGTCGTATCAGATCAAAAATGGATAAGAACCACTGTTTCATGTCTGAGGATTACTACTGAAGTTTTATAGCATACACGATGAACATCACAGTAAAAAATAAGCAAAAAATCTAGAAGAGTTGTCGTTCAGAATTATGTCTCATTAATATTTGCTATATACCGTACCTATGAACATTAATGGGTATGTCCCGTTCCTCATAAATACGTTGGACACTATTGTAAGTGGGGGTAATATGGTGTCTAAGTAGTCCACCACTAGAAGTGGTTTACCTACTTCACGCCGCTGGCGAGTATTGTATTTTGTTGATGTTATAAAGATTACCATTTCATTACCAACCTACGTTTTGGTTATTCCTCATTCAGTAACCCTTTCTAGTTACGACAATGTTTCACTTCATTTGTTTTCAATCGTTTTCTACGATTTTTTGTAGGTGTTATTGTGAAACCCCATAAATGTGACGTGATGCTGTGTCCAAAGACATCAGACTCCTGCATTAGTGGAACGAAAATATTACTTCTGAAGGATTCGCGGGCAGGTATATATATATTTTTATTCTTTTTCTACGCATTTACCGTATATTTCCACGCATAAATCGACCGATAGATAAGACGAATCCCCAAATCTAGGTAGATTTTCGTGATTTTACCTGTAGTATACTATATATATATATATATATATATATATATATATATATATCGTGATTTTACCTGTAGTCTACGATATTTTACTTTTTTGTGATTTAACCGTAGTATAAGACGACCTTTGTCTTATTTTTTATTCCGTCATAAGTAATAAAGATTTTATGGCGTCTTAAAAGTTTTGTTGAGTTATAATTCTCGTATAAGGTCGCAGTTCTGGCTAATGATATTGTAAGTAAAACACTGAAATAAGAGATTAGTGATTAAAAGATTTAATCCATGACGGACACTGATTAATAATGCAGTAATAACGAATGCTGTAGTTCAGTTCGGCGATGCGTACGACTCAATTCTTCACATTTAGACCCCAAATTTAGGTAAACTTTCGTGATTTTATCTGGTATCCATAGTATAAGACGACGAAAACTTAAGCTCGCCTTGGCCGCCATTAGCAGTTAGCCCTCTCGTAATGTTTCCTAGAAGTATAAAATAAAGCTGATGTTATCTGTCTATATTTCTGAGATGAGGTATTATGTGTGCTATTTACATTATTCGGACTAATGTCCTCGTCTTTGTCACCATATTTATTACAACGTTTCGGCCCTTCAGTATCTGTCTATATTCCTGAGATGAGGTATTATGTACATTATTTACATTATTCGGACTATTGTCCTCATCTTTGTCGGCATATTTATTACAACGTTTCGGCCGCTGTACGCTCCGGCCTTCTTCAGGTGGTTGGAATGTCAAATTGAACCCTTAATTTCGCTCACTGGGGTAGACTGTTTTAGTTGCACGTGTCATGTTTGATGGATGTCAGCTATCAGTTCTCTCCTGTTAATTTCCCTCTGAAAGTTCACCACTCCCTCAACCGGGTATTGAACTCACACTCTTTGGGTCCTGTAACTGGGTCTAACCAATGCCTTTATCAAGGACACAAGGCACAGTGGATAAAGGCGTTAGTTAGAGCTCTGGTAAAAACAGCAATGATAACAGCAAAAAATTGCAATATGAGCACAGGTAAAAAATGATTGCTGAAATATTTAAGTCAAGTGATAGCGATTGCTGCATGAGTCGTACGATTTTTGAATCAAGCACGGGCAACGCCGGGCCATGTTTATAATACCCAGAAATTCATACATGGATGTCCTCAAGGACACATGGTTCAGTCGTTAAAGGCGTTGATTAGATTCAGTGACAGGACCCAAAGAGTTTGAGTTCTCAGTGGAGAACTTTCTGAGGGAAATTAACAGGAGATAACTGATAGCTGACATTCATTAAACATGGCACGTGGAACTAGAACAGTCGATCCCAGTGAGGGAAATAAAGGGTTCAGTTGGACATTCCAAGAAGAAGCCCGGAGCGTACAACGGCCGAAACGTTGTAATAAATATGGCAACAAAGATGAGGACAATAGTCCGAATAATGTAAATAGTGTACATAATACCTCATCTCAGGAATATAGACAGATACTGAAGGGCCGAAACGTTGTAATAAATATGGCGACGAAGATGAGGATAATAGTCGGAATAATGTAAATAGTGTACATAATACCTCATCTCAGAAATATAGACAGATACTGAATGGCCGAAACGTTGTAATAAATATGGCGACAAAGATGAGGATAATAGTCGGAATAATGTAAATGGTATACATAATAGGTCATCTCAGAAATATAGACAGATACTGAAGGGCCGAAACGTTGTAATAAATATGGCGACAAAGATGAGGATAATAGTCCGAATAATGTAAATAGTGTACATAATACCTCATCTCAGAGATATAGACAGATACTGAATGGCCGAAACGTTGTAATAAATATGGCGACAAAGATGAGAACAATAGTCCGAATAATGTAAATAAAGCTGATGTTATTAGAAATGTTGTTTTACTTACCTTTATCAAATCAAAAGGAATTAAATAATATAAAATATTAACATTAATCTTTAAGAAAATAATATTCTTATGATTCATGCGAATGAAAACAAAAGTTGCGTATTCTCTAACGAGAAATACGGATTTTATGGCATCTTAAATGTTTTGTTACTTAGCACCGTTCTCTACCAAATCAAATACTGTATAATGTATATTATTGAAAAATAAAGTTTGTATGCTATCTTAGATGTTGCCATTTAACACTGCTATGAGAAATAATGATTGGTGTGAACGCAGCCGCAGCTCTAGAAATCAAGAACGAAAGATTAGTGAAGAGAAGGTTTAATCCCTTTCGGTTACTCATAAAATAATCATCCCGTAGTCAAGTGCGGCAATGCGTACGACTCAACGCTACAACCCAATTTATTCCGATGAGCAAACGTTCCTAAATATAGTCAATGGACGAGTTTATTTTTAACAAATAGTGTAGAGAAGGTCGGTCGTCTTTCTACCCAGCATATTGTTTCACACCGCAAAAATAAATACCGT